CCCCCGACATTGTTTTCGTGAAGCTTTTGGAATTCGACAAATCATCACCTACTGTTGAAGGATTACCGCCTGGAATAATCCCGGTGCAATCCATAAAAAAACCTGGAATTAGAGTCGAACTACCGCAGCGGTCCTTCACCATTCAAGTTCTTCAAGCTCCCTTGGTACCAGCATTCGCTCTCACATCAGAAAAATGTCAAGGCCTCACAGTTCAGAAAGTAATTATCAGCCCATTGCGTCATTCTACAAGGAGAATGCCACAACGCTCGTCGTTCTACGTGGCAGTGACACGCGTCACAACACTAGAGCAGCTCTATCTTACGGAAAAGCTCACTATGCAAACTCTTCGATACTTCACCCCTAATCAAGCCGCTCTTGAAGAAACCCGACGACTTGAAGCTCTTGAGAAAGAATGTGATGAGCACCACTTACGTCGTCGTAGCTAACTCAAATGAACGAATGAATATTATTTCTTAAATGTACTCGCTTGAGATCAGTTACATTTTTGAAACCTTTGTTACAATAAACCTTGCAATCCATAAAATAAACACCGTTAAAAAAAATTTCATGCTGCACATATACTTACTACTTTACTCCATCTAAGCATAGGTGTTATTACCACCTCTCATAATTTTACGCAAGTTCCACATGTAACCTTGTCTTCACTATCAATGGCTCACGACATCTAGTAGTCCCGTCGGCATCTTGATGGGATTCAACCTTGATCGCATTATCGGAGGAGAAGCAGCAACTTCTTCGCTACTGCATACACCATATTTTCTACCTCCGACTACTTGCAACGTTGACCAACGCTCAGCACTATGCTCACTGCGCCAAAATTTCAGAGCTCATCCGGGCGCTCGCGCACGGCCTTGTCAGAATTAGCATTTTTAAATAATAGTAAGCGGTAGAGAGGACTCGAGCGTCAGTTAGTTCACTTTTAGCTCGTCTGCAATGGACTCTGCTGTTTTTCGATGGAGAACAATTACTCTCCACTACGTCTACAGCATTGCATGTGGACAAGTAGGTCGCAGCTTCGGTTTATGTGTACACGATGGTATAAGTATTTCAAGACTACTGGTCACGTTACTCAAGACAAGAGCGGTAAAAAAAAAAAGGCGTACGACCCAGAGCTGCTGTCGTATGTTGGTGGCTACGTAAACGAAAGTCCTTTGTTTTACATTGAAGAGGTTGATCTCCGCGCGGAATTTGGGTCCGGTTGCAAGGGCTGTCAGCATCGAGTATCCTGCGACTTTAGAAGTTCAACCTTGATCTCAGCAGAAAGGTGATCGCGAGCCGCACTCAAGAGGCTGTGCCTCATGAAATAGAGGCATTAATGGCGAAAATGTGGTGTTGGCACATCTACCCGGAGCAATTGCTTTTCGTGGACGAAACATCAAAGAATGGCCTCGACTGTGTGCGACGTTATGCGTGGGCGAAACGAAGTGAGCGAGCTGTAGTCCAGACTCCATTTACCAGTGGAAAGCAGTCTTAATCCTAGCTGCTTGTGACGTTACTGTAGTTGTGGGTTAGCCGACAACTCGTGGCACATTTACACGGCTGGAGTTCCACCGAGCATTTGTTGATGCCGTACTGCCTCGCCTCAATCCTTTGCCGCTCCCACGATCCGTTGTTGTATTGAATAATGCGTGTATACACATGGATCCTGAACAGGAGGACGCTGTTCATTCTGTCAGAGTTGTGTTTTTGTTCCTGCCGCCTTAATGCCCTCAATTTAACCCGATTGAGGTATTGTTTGGTTAACTGAAGCGATGGTTGACACGTCATGCAAACTTAACGTTCCTGTTGTACCGTGGTAGTTGGCCCGGGCTTGGGTAAGCTTCCCGAACCACGTTTCGGTAGTCAGGGCCACGAACCGCTTGCTTTGCGTGCTGCCTTGGTCTCAGATAACGTTTCATGTCGGGCCTCGTCGTTTTCAAAGCATACTTTGCTAAGCCGAGCTTACCTTTTCTTCGGCTAAAGAATACACCCTCTCGAAGCTGTCACGTTCTTCATCAAACTCGAACTCTGCATTCTCAACAGGCACACTGGTTCTGCTAGTGTGTTCAACCCTACCAATTCTAACTGCTACACATGTGCGTGTCTTCTCGATTGCGTGCTTCTATATGTTCCAGGTGCTTGGATTGCCCAGTTCTTCATGGGCATTCGGAGAAATCTATGTTTATCTAAACGAGATGGTATATTTTAAAACGAACACTAATATAGATAAGTGGTCACTAAAAACAACTTGCAGGTTGTTTATATATATAAATATTCGGGCTTAATAGCGCTCTAAATAAGTCGATTAGCGACTAAAATGAACATCTTGGTTGGTTTTCACAATATATCAATTGCGTTTTTATTAACACCTTGAGTTGTTTAATTAGCAAACGATTTAGACATTTTGGCTGGTTTTCACAATAGCAAGTAACTGGGTTTATAAGAATGAAATGGTGCTACAAATAGTTGCCGTTATATACACTAATAGATTAGATAAGCGCTATTAGGAACAATTGTACGATTAGTTGGTGTATACCATTTAAAATGTACCGTCGTACAGCTTAGCTGCTTTTTCTACTGTTTCATTGCGATGCTGGGGCTTGCTAGCGATCCAGGTTTAGCTGTCTTGCTTTTGTGATTAGATTTAGGCCTGGGCTTTCTGCCTCTCTTACCGTTCTTTTTACTGGGGAACTTTCTTGCGGGTGTGCGCAGTGTACAGCCTGTTTGTTTTAATCCTTCTCAGTACCGGAACGAACTGGTAGTTGTACGCTTTTGGACATTGCTGGACGTATGAACGCTCCAATGAAATATCTTACTGCTATGCATGCCATGATGGATAGCAGCCTTCAGTGCATTTACGCATGGGAATTGCTGATCTCGCCATCTACGGCAAGTGCAGCCACGCTCCACCAAATTTACCGTTCGTCACTCGTGAATATGGTCTGGGCGTAAGCTAGGCTCACAATAGCGTACCATGTACAATCCGTATAGACACGAACGAAACTGGGGTTCTTAATTTGCATGAGGATAGCATCCAAATTCTCTTGATACGACGAGACAAAGGTAATGTGTTTGTTAATTTTAACATGGGCGGCTTAATCCCTTTTAGTGCTCTGGTTTCCCCTGAAAGCCGCGCGATAATGCTCTGTGAATAATCCAACCACCTTTATCATAAACCGTTCGAAAGTCAGTAGGATGAACGCTGAGCGACAACAATTACCTAACCAGTAGTTCGCGCGTTCAGAAAGTAATTGCCTCATCATACGATGGTTGAATGTATTCTTCGTTGAATAAATAGGTGACACGATGCGCTTCTCAATTGAAGCTAGGTACTGAGCAGAAATAGAGCGAGTATCGCTCAGTTTGGACTCGTAAAACTTGTAGTCGCTCTCACATTCACTCGGAACCATAGCAAATATAAGAGTTTGTTTTTGGGCGGCTAAATGTGAAGACATTATCAGCGTTACCAATAATGTGTCTCACACAGGAGCGACGACCACGGTTTGGGTAGAGCTCTGTCACGGCGGCAAGAATTCGTTTTCGTGATCAGTAAAATACAAGATCCCAGCCCGAAAAGGCTACGGCATCTGATGCCGTCATGTGCTTCACAAACCAGTTCCAGTTTGACGTATCATACTTCTCCACCAAAGCCAAACCGAAACCTAGAATACATCCGTTGTAGTTTTTGCTGCTGCCGGATCCCCCCTCCCTTCTCCCCGTTTGCTCATGTCTTCTTAAAATTGAGTGCCGTTCAAACCAGTCACATGCTTTCAATGACTTTTTACCCAAATTCATATTTCAGGAAGAAGCAGGAGCGCAGAAAAGCCCCAGATTCAGTTTTCCCGAAGTCGGAGTGAGGATACAAATCGCTGTCATTTGCTTAAGTCCAAGTAGCTCTCCAATTTCTGATAACACTCCACCATTTCGCCCTGGTACGCACCTAGCAGGTGTTGATTGTATTGTGAAATTGTCTGTCGGCTTACTGTGGAACCTTTCGAGAGAAGAGTGTCTTTGGTTGCCGGTAACATCGATCCACGCACTGTTGTATGCAGGCAATGTTTATCGCTGGGGAACTCCTTGTAAAGACTCAAATGAAACGTCACGACGCTGCTGCCGTGTCGTATCTCTATAGTCGATTCCAAGAACGTGTCAACACGAAAGCCTGTATGTCTGTAGTGACAATGCGCCAAACCCCATTTTTGTTGTCTTCCATTCTTCTCATAATTCGTATACAGCAACAATTAACGGGCAACGCTCCAAACTTCCAGGAACAAGCTGCTGCTGGCCTTTCAGCATATTGCCAACATACCTTGCATGCCCTTCCGTAGCATCCTATCTCGTACTTTTGCTGGCCACAGAAAGAGAGAAGCCAACGTCGCTCGCAAACACCCGGGATTACGGTTGGAGAGCCTTTCTTGACGTAAATGGCATCGATGCTACGCTACCTCCGCGAGCATAGGTTTGAACAAACGTCCATACACCTTCCTTTTCAAGTGACGACATCGATGTCGCCGCGGAAGAGACTCTTTTCGCTCAGGTATGTGATATCTCTTTGATCCGCAGTTCAATGTGAGTAACAAATTTCTGTTTGAGATGGCATCTTGAGGCCTAAACATTAATAAGCGATGATTCCGTATTGTACCGTGCGGCAGAGCTGGTAACTCGAGAATTGAGGCTTTCTTGGAGAGTTATGCTGGAATCCGAACGGACGGAGCGGTAATAGTACCTGTAGAGTCATAGCACTTTGCGGCAATACAATCGAAATCGACGTAGAGTTTGCATGACTCTTTAACTAGAGTTTCGGTGGTTTCACTTTGCAACACAAAGTGGACGTTTTTCAAAAGTATGGATTTTCTTCTGAAGATCAATTTAGAAGAGAAAACAACCAAGTCTTTAGTTTGGACTGGCTATAAAAAGGTTTTGCAATATCTTGAAATTTTGTTCTCCTTTTAGTTTTGTTCTCCTTTTACGAGATAAATGAACGAGTCGTAAGTTTTGGCTTGCTCAACAAAAAGCAGTTATAAACTACTAAAAAAAATAAAGGCCGCTGTTGGAGGCCAGGATTATTAATAATGGACCGTGCAGGATTTCTCCCATGATTTATCCTGGATGCCAATTTCTATCTTATTTAAGTAGTCATATGGGGAAGTTATGGAAAGATACGTTGAGGACGAGAAAGATACAAATGTGTGGCTATTAATGATCCAGGATTAATCCTGTATATGAATCGTGGGAAAATCGTGTATTGAACATCTTTGTGTGACTTAGTATGGAAAAACTTATAATACGTGTATTAGATCATGAATGGCCTGACAACTCTGAAGCTACTGCTGACCTTGAGTTGGAGGAATGTCCTCGTCGTCGCTGCGCTCGTGTTCAGCGCTGGGGGCTGGCATCTTCTCCTCGTCTTCGTCATCTTGCGGTGTTTGGAGAGGAAGAAGTTGCCCTGTGAGCAAATAATAGAACAGCTCGAACCGACGTTTTGTGAGCGTCTCGATGTTCACTTTCAGGTGACGCCCTGGAATTACCTGCCCTATGAACATCCAACAGACAAACACGCCACAGCTGTGTCCGTCGAACTGGAGCGGATTGTTCATCGGGATAACGTTGTAGTCGCTCAGGCCGCTGAGCTTCAAGCTTGTAGCCACTTCCTTTGCTGCATTCTTGAACGGCGCTTGGTTGACAGGATCGTAGAAGAAAATGCGCTTGGTCTCCACTTTCACAACGAGACAGCACCAGTGAAAGTTTGGAAAGTTCAAGGGCAGCATTATCGTCTTGAATCCATCTTCCTTCACTTGCTGCAGGACCCGATCGCGTACCGCCTCGTCAAGGCATCGCTCGTTTGGATTCCGCGTTCGCTTGCTCTTCGTAAATGCTGCCTAGAATCCGGTGAAGCGACACGTGGGGTAGTCGTTAACTAGGCGCATGCACAACCCTCTGATCGTCGCATCCGTTAGCCATAAGGGAGGTGCAGCTCTATAGAGCACAGTGTATGCGAAGTCCGGGCCATCCGGGAGTCCCTGGATGTGCTTGTAAGGGTAAGCCTCCATTACATCATCCGCCACTTGTCGAGCCTTCACATCGTATGGGGATGGGAGTGTAGGAAGAGCCACATCTAGAAGCCACTCGTTCGTTTTCAGGCCGAGCTCGACGAAATCCTTCAATATCTGCACTCTCTTGAACGTCTCAATCTGTTTTCTGCTGTAGCTGCCGACGTCCTTGATCACCAGGGTCTCTACATAGCCTTCTGCAATGTCTGTGCGTGAGGTTTGGCTTGGTTGTGAGTCGTCCACCGCGATAACAGTGTCCTCCGTGGGCAGCAACTTCACGCAGGCGTCCAGAAGCTTGGTAGGAAGCAGATAGATGGGATCCATAGTTAACACTGGGTTCTTCATAATTTTCAGCTTTGGCTTCTTTTTTTCAGCTTCACCATGTTTCACAATGACACCTGACAGGCGTCCTTGCGTCTCCTTGAGCCCAGGCTGCTCTCTATCGAGAGAATCAACAAGCGCAAGTAGTGAAACTTCTCCAGCCTGTGCTCGAGCGGCCTCCCTTGTTTCGTACCACCTGCGGTCCTTCTTCTCCCCTGCAGCAGTCTTCTTCTTCTGCTTCTGCGGTCGTCCAACCTTCCGCGCTTTGGGATTAAGCCGTAGTTCCACGCGCTTACCCGTTTTAGACGCGTCTTCATCCGTGCCATCGTCTCCAACAGAGGTTTGCGATCTATCTTCTTCATCCTCATCGCTGCTGCTTATGTTGAACTCATTCTTTACTAATGCCTCCTGTTCACGATCACGTGTGTAACGCTCCTCGCCATGTTTCGGTGATTCTGCAGACAAATCTGCAGACGCATCTCCGGAAATTGTAGCCATTTTCTTCAGGCGCACATTGCGCCATTGAGCCAAGACAAACTTCAGCATCTCTTCGAATTCTGCTTCGTCTTCTATGTCAGCCATCTCGTTTGCAATGAGATGTGTGGCTCTTACAGCTTCCCGGTACCGCTCGGACTGCGTTCTCAACTTCTTTTGAATAGATCCAAACTCCCCATCCACAAATTTCTCGTACGTGAACTGCTTTACCTTCTTCAGTTCTTGAGAGGGAGATGTCCATCTGAAACATGGACAGTATACAGGATTAATCATGGACACAACATGTAATTAAATTCTGGACATTCCAGGATTCAATCATGGAAAAATCCTGGACATTCTACAACTTACCTTTCGTCGATGCGATTCCAGGGTATCAGTGGCCCAGAGACTCGGTTGTGTTTTCGATACGCGATCGAATGACGGCAAGGAAGACTCATGGACAAGGACAACTCGCAGTCGCATCTACAATTGTCAACCCTTAACTTGTGCTCTGAAAACATTCCGCGTACGTAAACCACCGCTGCGTCGTCCTTGTTGGGGTCGAATCTGTATTTGGAAGCCATCTCAACACCTTTTGCGTACTGAGCCTCGATCTGACCAGCCACGTAGTGACTCGTGAAGCGCAAAACAGTACTCATCTCTTCGTCATAGTGTGAATTCACGAAATGACCAATCCTCGTAACCCGATACTTGTACTCATTCTCTTTACGGCGGTCGTAAGCAAGAAGAGCCTTAACGCATTGAGCCATACTCATCGAGCCGTCCACTCCATCCTTCAGATTCCCGAAAAAGCTCTCCAGCCTGTTATTTGTATGGTTCTTGAAGTGAGGTAAGTGAGCGCGAAGATAATAGACCCACCGATCCTTGCAGGAATCCCAGTTCTTTTGAAAGTAGGTGTAAAATCCATTCAATCCAACACGATCACAAATCCCTTCCAATGAATTGTGAGCAACTTCGTAACTGTCTTCATTTGCTGCTTAAAAACAGCTGCGTCGATTAAACTAGTATCTTCAGAAGCGATCTTCCCAAACTCGGGTTTTGAACGCATCTCTTTCAGGTATTTTAACACGTGGAAGTGACAAATCAAGATCCTGGCTTCTGGGAAATTCGTTTTCAATACTCGAATTTCGTTCAGGTCTTTATCCACAACGATCACGCGCAGCAAATTAATTCGAGTAGGATGAGAACGTTTGAAGTGCGTAATAGCACGCTCCATGTGCCAGTCTCCATTGGCTTCGATGAGAGACTGCTGCACAACTGCTCCTTCCCCAAATTCATTCATGCCCATGAATGTAAGGAGCTGGTAGTTGTATCTAGCACAATAGAAACAAATATATATTAGAATCCTTGAAAAATCCTGGTTAAAATCCTGGATAAATCCTGGATAAAATCGAAAAAATATAATCCTATAATAATCCTGGATAACATCCATCATTTAATTCTGGGAAAATCCTGGATAATATAACAGATAAAATCTAAAAATAGAAATCCTGGACAAAATCCTGGATCTAAAAAAGCATGGATAAAATCCTGGAACGGAAAAATCCTACTCACCGGTTGGTCTTGTGGCTGCAATCGACGAGGAGAACTTCGCTGAAACGACCATAGATACGCCGCATGTGAGCGGTAGCCAGTGAAATGACTCCTGTTTCACCTGCATCCGTTTCAGAAACTGAGGATACGTTCTCCGGGTCCGCTGCAGCGAACGCAGCAATCTCGCGCGCTGTAGCCTCGTTATCATCCTGCGTAGAGAGAGAGCCAGAGTGGTCCCGGACGAGATTATCAACGTCAACTTGTATGACGTTTTGGTCATGCTCCAGTAAGTAGTCGTAAATGCGAGAGCGCTTAGCTCCCGCAGACAGCATGCCTTCCACACGCGCTCCTACAACCGGATCGTGAACTCCACGCGAAACTGGATAGGTCGCGTACGCTTGGGTTGAAACTTGGTGATTGTGGGTGTACACTCCATTCTTCACTTGTAGTTGCCCTCGAGCCACGTTCCATTGAACCACAAAGCTGAAGGGACAATCCGTCAAGCGAATGTGCTGGCGAGGCCGCGTCCCTTCGCTTCGTGATTTCCGCTTCTTCCAGCCATGAGTGCATATGTACACTCGTTGGTAGGGATCGCACCGTTCAGGTAGTAATATAGAGTCATCATCTGCTTTCTTGGTCTTCTTCAACCGCTTCAGTCGCTCAGCCCGAGACATGGTCTCCTTAACAGGTAGAACCTGCCTCGTTCTCTCGCAGTACTGTACGAAGTACTGCTGCCAGGCGTTCCAGGACGGATGCCACACAACTGGCGGGTCCACATCCACAGAATTACCGCTCTCATCATTGTCTCCAGACTCCACGGACACCATTTCGAAACCAGGTGTCTCCTCCCTCTCACTGCCGTCACCACCTGCCGTACCACAAGCCCCTCCACCCGTTGTCTGGTCGACTCCACCAGCATTTGCATCGTTACCAGCGGCTATTGGCCGCAGCACGCCCCCCCCCCCCTCGTCTCCCTCGCTTTCAACACTTCCTAAGGCTTCGTTCACCTGCTCCTGCGCACTAGAACCTCCTCCAAGCGGAGGTGAACACACATCAGTACCTTGATACGCTTGCGAGGCCTCTTGTCCTGCTTCTGTGGCCTCTTGTCCTGCTTCTGGGGCGTCCGCAACGTCTCGCCAGCACCTCGAGCCATTTTGCCTGTATAACCGCAACTGAACGGGATTTCTTTTCTCCCTCAATTCGGAATTAGCGTTTGAAATCGAAATTAAGTGACTTGAAATTTATGCAATGGTTTTTTTTATCTTCGATCCTGGACAATCCAGGATTAGAATCCTGTACAAAACAGTACTAATAATCCTGGCCTCCAACGGTTTCGAAAAATAAATCCGTGTTTTTGGAGGAGATCAGAATCTTTTTAAAAAGAATAGATGCAACCGACTACTTACGTTTTGAAAAAAGTGCCTTTAATCTACTTATATTATTTAGTTCTTCAGCTGTGATGATATCAAGTTAGTTCGCATTACGAATTTAACATGTACTACTATTAGTATTAATACTGTGGACACTACTAGTTGTTAGTAGCGCATTTTGGCAAAACATAGTACTCCAGAACTGGATTATGGAATATCCTCGGAAAGTGAAGGTAAGGAGTCCATACTAAGGACTACTCCGAAACCTCTATAATATGAATTCATAGAATATCACTATGTATGACATGACACTCCTTCTTGTTATCAAAATGTTACAGTACCTGCATCAAAAGGGATCATTTGGGGCGAAAAACGGTATAGTTAGAGCTGAGTAATTTCGATTAATTAAATGGTGTAACTGAGATAACCTAAGCTACTCTACCTCAAAACCAAGCTACCCGAAAGCACGGTCAAACGGAGAACCGTAGTAACACGCCACTTCCAGTGGCATCTCCAACATCACAGTCTTGGTCTTTCGAACGTCCATCCATGGCTGGCAGATCACGGCATTACATGCGGCAGCGATCCAGATGAAGCACGGCATACGTGCTTAACGTCCATCTCGACGCGCTGGCCTTAGAACCCACCGCTTGGCCAAACAAATGGTCATGAGCTTCCATGCCGCTGGCCAGCGTTCTTGGCGTTGCTGTTGTGGCAACAACGGATGCCGATGCGACTAACGCATCCCACCATACAAAAGGTCGCATTCTGAATTTCCTTGACAGCAACCGGATCGTTGCGTTGATTGGTCAGAATCTCGCTTGGTATCGCCAATCACTTTGTCAGACATAAGCAACGCAGTGAAAAACCAGCCACCTGGTGCAAATTCGTGCTCAACACTGGCCAAGACTCAATCCCACTCGAGTTTTCGATCGGGATCCCGTGACTGAGTGACTAAAAAGAGCAGCGTCACATTTGCCGCACATATTGCGCACTGCCACACTGTCACATCGCGGGTTGCCCCGAGACCACAAAAAGCACAGTTTTTTGCCGATTTTCCCGCAATGTCTTGGCTCGGCGCGCTGACCGGGATGCAACCGCGCCGCGTGAGCGACCGCTACGCGCTGCCCAAGCCCACGTGGCAGCAAAAGGTGCAGCACTACGCGCCGATCTTCCGTTGGCTGCCCAACTACAGCGTCCAGCGCGACCTCAAGTTCGACATTGTGGCCGGTATCACCGTGGCAATGATGCTCATTCCGCAAGAAGTGTCTCTCTCCACTATCATGCACGTGCCGGCGCACCACGGTCTGTACACGGCTGCTACGGCCCCGTTGGTCTACGCCATCTTCGGCTCCAGTACAGTGCTCTCCGTTGCAAGTGGCTCCGAGGTTTCGCTACTTGTTGGCTCGACGCTCGAGGACATCGAAGACGAGGACGAACGTGTGGCAACGGGCATCTTCATGGCCTTCCTCAGTGGCTGCATCCTGCTGCTGGTCCGTATATTGAATCTCAGTCAAATCGCCGACTTCTTCTCCCGTCCAGTCATGGGCGGCTTCATCTCGGCCGGTGGTTTGCTCATTATGCTGTCACAAGTGCCCAATGCGTTGGGTCTCAAGCTGAAATCTCAGGAATACCCGCCTGCAAAAGTCGTCCAGATCTTGGAAAACATTGGCGACACCAACTTGAACGCCTTCGCAGTGGCTGCAGTGTCCATTGTATACCTTATCACAGTCAAGATGATCAAAAGACGCTTCTTCCCGTCCCCCGTGCTCATGCAGCTTTTCGAGAGCGACACGCCACAGGTCAAAGAGAAGGGAAAACCGGAAGAAGAGGAAAGATTCATCCAGCAACCTGCCAATTCCGGCCACGGATTCTCCTTAACAGACCAGCAGTTCACAGCGTACCAGGCTCAAACCACTCCACAGGAGGAATGTGAGTCGCTGGCGGATGCTGGGAAGGAAGAGCAGCCTCCCAAGTCCAAGGGAGTGCTCCTCGCTATCTTCCTTATGCGTACACTGTGTGACTTGGGTCCTCTTGTTGTCTGCATCTTTGGTGGCATTGTCGGATACGCACTCGGCCCCTCGCACTTAAAACTCACAGGAGAGATCCCTGGCGGCTTCCCGGAGCCCAAAGTGCCTTGGTACGGCTTCACTTCGCACCTTATTGACGGTGACCGCTTCGGTACTATCATGTACCATGCTTTGACGGTATCAGTAGTGGTTTTCCTGTCGAGTATTGCCATGTCCAAGCGTCTTGCTATCCAGCGAGGCGAGGATATTAACACCGAGCAGGAATTGACAGGTATTGGCATTGCCAGCGTCGTCTGCGGCTTCTTCCAGGCCATGCCCCCCACGGGCGGTATGTCCCGGACGGCCGTGAACTTACAGAACGCCCACACCCAACTGGCCTCGATCATCACGTGTCTTATCGTGGTGTTGGCTCTGTACACGCTCACGAGCACCCTGTATTACCTGCCGAGCGCCACACTAGCCTCCATTATCATTGTGGCAGGCTGGACTCTGGTCGAGTTCCGAGAGGCCAAGTGGCTGTTCCGTGTCAAGCGCGACGAGTTTTTCGTCTGGGCCGCGTCGTTCGCATTGACTCTGGGCCTCGGTGTGCTCAACGGTTTGATCGCTTCGATTATCTGCTGCATCTTGGCTCTTATGTGGAAGTCCAAGGTGCAGCCGGTTGCCATTCTGGGCGAACTGGACAATGGCCGCTACGTCGACCGCGAGAACTTCCCCGAAGCAAACAATCTGGGCGACATCATCGCAGTTCGAGTGGAGAGCTCGCTGTACTTTGCAAACTGCGAACGTGTGGCTCATTTCATTGAGCGAGAGATGGTGCGGCTGTCGACGCTGGGCATCACCACGCGCGGTGTAGTGCTGGACACTTTCCACATGAACGACATGGACGCCACGACGATCCAGGTGTTGTCGGACACGCAGGAGAAGCTGGCAGTACGCGGGGTGCGCTTTGGCATTGCCAACGCCAAGAGCCGCTTGTACGATCTTTTGGCTGCCACGAACCTTCTCAAGCGCATTCTGGCAAACGACCCCACAATTTCCGTCGAGGATGCCGTGAGAATGATGCGCGAACTGCCACCTCTTGGCGACAAGTCGAACTCAGCAGCTTCCGGCACGTCGACGGCAAGCAATCACGTCTAAGCATCAAAATATGTGTATGTTTGGTTAAAAAAAAAACTATCTTTGAAATTGAAAATGTGATGTTCTTTTCAGTGAAAATCAATGATGTGCTTGAAACTACATATTTAATTTCTTTTTTTTCAGATTTATTTTTATGCACTGTGGCTTATTGACTTACAAGTTTGGGTTTTCAAATGCTCGCATTGTAAATGATAAAAAAAAAACACCTACTTCTGTTAGTGAAACCTCCTACTTGTGTCTGATAGTGATAAATGGTCTTCTTGCTCGATTCTTACGGAGTCATTGAGTGTCTGCGTGTTGGACTGGATTTGTCACCCGTCAGCTTTTCCTTCATTCCGTGCATCGCTTCCTTAGCTCGCTCGACAATGGAAGGCGACGATACCGATTTGTCCGCACTGTTGATCTGGTAGCTCAGTACGTTAAGGTTCACGTTGGCGCGCAGAGTTGTCTTCACAAGTTCTTCGACAGTATCTGAACTGCCCAGACCGCCGCCATGGTGACGACCATCATGGGGGTCTTTCTTTGCGTGTCCGTGCTTCTCGTCGTAGTTGCGAGCCGTCGTCTTCAAAATGTCCAAGGCGTTGGACGTAGCGTTCATGTGCTTGCGGGCCGAATGCACCTCCTTCTTGGAATTTTTGTGCTTTTTGGTGATCTTGTGCGCCACATGCCTCAGATCAGCAGACACGTCCTTGGCATTGCGAAGGTCACTGCGCATGTACGACTTGGCCGTGCCCACGAAGCGGTTGCCATGTCGACCATCGTACTCCGCCAGCTTCCTTTTCAGCAACTTCAGACAGTTCTCGGCGTCGTTGGCAGTCTCGATCAGCACTTGCGCCAGAGTGGCGAACTCTTTATCCGCAGCGACGTCACGGTCGGTTGGCTTGCCCATAGTAATGTTGGAAATCGAAAGTTTGTTGGTATATCGGCTTGTGCGCTTGGAATCACGATTGAAAATGAGCATTGAAGAAGTCCCAGCGAAGAGCGCAACTAGAAATGAGAAATGTGAATAATGGCTGCTTCAAAGTGAATAACATTCAAATTCAAGGCCGCTAAACTCATTATAGCGGCTCAGTAGTGAGTCGCACGCTTATTATTATTATTATTAAACCGATGTTACTCATTAGCGCGATATTCTTCACGATCTTTTTTGAATGAGAAGTCTTGACATTTCCAAACATTCTGCACCCACAAGATCTCGATTGTCGCGTGCGTGCATTTAGTTGTCGCTTTCAGCCATCATGCTTGGCAGAAGAAGCATCCAACGGCTTAAAGGGACAAACATACAAACTTAGGCCACGATCATTTTTAAAAGTGACAGCAAGTGCGAAGTCCAGCGATTGCAGCGACACCTCGAACCATGGGCAAGACCACCAAGCGCAACGTTGCCGTGGCCCGGGAGTTCTCCAAGCTGGAGATGCTGCTACTGCAGACGGCCAGCGATACTCTCAAATGCCTAAAGATCCTAAAACGCAACCTCGGCAAGTACGATCGACGCCACGGATTATACTTCCGCAACACGTCCAAATATTTCATGCGGAACGACATTCGAGTGGCCAAGGACACGACCACGGACTTGCGGCACGTGGCCAAACGGATCAAAAGAAGCAAAAGCCCAACGGCGTCGGAGATCAACGCGGCTCGCATCAGCATGAACGCAACCGCCGACGTTATGAACGACTTGAAGCAGGCCGGTCGCATTTTCGACCAGAACAATGGAGCATCGGGAGGTGTCACGGGTATCATCGACAATATCCTGAATGGCAACAACAACGAAGAGAACGCCAATCAGCAAAACGGCGGCCATGACGACAAGAACCCCGAAAATCAAAAGCCCAAACGAGGCCTATTTGGTAGGAAGAAAGGCGGTGGCTTTCTCAAGGCATCCGACACGGTGGAGGCAGTGGTGAAGTCGACTTTGAACGACAGCTTTGGTGGATTTGCGGCTTTGAAACAGCAAATTACACTTACAGAGAATGCTCTGTCACCATCGATCGCTACTCGTGCCAAGGATGCAGTGGTGGATGTGGCCAGCAAAATCGTCGGTGATTCCAGCCCGAGCCCAACACAAACAGCATGAGCATGTGAGAGACTTCAAACGCTTTCACTCGTTTCAATTCGAGTTTTAGTTTTGCATCACAGGGTTTAAACGTTTTAAATCAATAATAAAGTAGCCACGGCTATCGGTATGATAATATAAACCGCATTCCTTTTGTCATTCTTGCACAAAGAAATTTTGTACATGTAGAACACTGCAATCATTTTTTTTATGGCACTTTCCACACTAAATATGCACTCCATTTGCAACAAACGTCATCAAGGTTGATGCTGGCATTGATGGAGAACTCGGCATTGTCGCTCCCGTCTCTAAATTTTCCCCTTGAGATAAAGCATCGACAGCTCCAGAACTAGACAGCATATCAGGACTGGCATCCAGAGCGGATGACAGACATTGGCGGCTGTGGTCCTTCACGCGTCGGCGGATTGTTTCACACGAAACACGCACACCGTACGCTGCTTGCAGTTGCTCTTTGATGATCCTTGCTGAGCTCCTCTCGTTGGTTTTAACCGCCTGCAAGATAACTTTGTCCACAATCGCGTCTGTTTTACGTGGTCGGCCACTGCGTTTGGCAGGAAGAACCGTGCCCGTACGCTGAGCTTTCTCCACAATAGCACGCACAGTAGTGTGCGGCATGTTTAACGTCTTGCCGATCCGTCGATACCCTTGACCTTGAGCGTGGAGTGATACACACTGCTCACGCTTTTCGATACTGTACTCTCCACGCTTCTTGCGCTTGGGAGTCGAGCGTTCTTCGTTTAATTGGGATGGTACATTGGGCATTTCGTCGGGGTCTAAGCCCATGTCTTTGGTTGGAATATTCGTTGCCACTTTGTTTGTTCGTTTGTCAATTGTCGAAATTTCCCGCTCGGACGTATTCAAGGCTGCTAAATCATCATGCGAAGGCGTTGTGGGTGTTTCTGGAGCCACAGTACTCGTAGTTCCACTTTTGTCTTCCAAAGCTGAAGACCCGTTCGAGATAGACTGAATCCGCTGCTTGGTGTGCTCGAGTACCCGTCGTCGCACAGTCTCTGGTGACAGCTTGACTCCATACACACGCAATAATTCTTCTTGGATCGATTTCGCACTGCACTGTTTGTTGGATCTAACAGCTTCAAGGATGACTTTGTCGACGATCCCGCTGGTTTTTCGAGGACGTCCACTACGTGGAGCCGAGACGACACTGCCTGTGCGCTTGGCCTTGCGAACGATAGCTCGCACAGAATCGTGAGGAATTCCCAGTTCTTTTGAGATGGCCGCATACGACTTCCCCTCTGTCTGGTGCCGACGAACGCACAATGCGCGAGTCTCAACAGAATACTCAGCGCGCTTCTGTCTCTTTCGCGCATGAGTTGCCTTTCCTTCGTTCGTTCTTATGCGCTTAGTTGAGTTTCCCTTTGTTGCTGGAGTGTTGCAGACTTCGGGGGCGTCTGATGAAGAGGGGTCAATAGTAATGACCGCATCGCTGATATCTTGAGTCGTGACCTGTGCAATATTTGTCATTTGTGCACTTTTATTGCTGTTCACACTTGGTTTATGGGTATTTTGTGTCTCGGTCTCCACTTCAGCGTTCCCAGCAGCACTGCTATTTGTCTCTATGGAGTTTTCTCCGTTTACTAAGGGGGCTTCCGCCTCCACCACATCTGTGGCGATCGACCGCACGGTGTTTGCCAACATGTCCAAGTCTCGCGCAACTCTGTCGTGATCTCGCTGTTCTGCTTCTTTTTTCTTTTGATCCATTGGATTCTGAGCCTTACCAGCGTCTCCTACCGCATTAGTTGCTGTTGTTTTCTCGTTCTCAACCGTGTCCACACCATTGTCTGAAGACGTATGCATTAAAGTCTCGTCCATCAGCTTCTTCACGCGGTGTTGCACCAGCTCGTACGAGTCACTAACATTGTACGGAGCGGTAGATAGCATTTCTTGCAGCACTCTCTCGTCGCGAATCCCTTGAGTCTCCATTAATTGGCGTAGAATATCGTCAGTCAGTTGCAGGTCATTGGGCGAAGTACGGGCTTCGATCGAGGCCTCTATCTCCTGTTGCAGTGCAAAAGGTGGTTCCGCATGTGCATTAGAAGCCTTAGAAGCCGATGGGGAAGCCGCAACACCAGCTCCTAGCTCAGCGTCCGACATCAAGTGCGGCGCTGCAAAAGGGTACGTGACGTCCGGAAATGTACTTGGTGAATAGTGGAAAACCAAATATCGACCAATGGGAGCGATGCAATTTGCAGCATATTGTGTGTTTTACTGAAAAACGATACCTCGATGTGTCCATTAAAGGGTCAATTGGTAAAATGATGCCACCCACGCGTAGAGCCGATCTCCAACCTCCGACTTCACAGTGCGATGCCTCGATGCCGGTTGGAAACGGGTCTACAGCACGAGGATTGTACTGGGTCCTGTACAATATAGCAAAGTCACACACCACCCGGCAAAAAAAAAGTGTTTGAAGCAGGGCAGCATTTGGTTTTCAAGCGAAATTAGACATTGTGGCAATGGTGTTCTATTAGCTTATAAGAAAATGGCAATATCTTTGGGTTTGGATGAGTATTTTATACAGTTCATGTTGCCTAGGCAACCCGCGAGTTGTTGTTGTCATGTGAAGGTAGCGATGGACGGCGTACGCGTCCCTCTTCGTCTACAGCGAGGTGGGCTCTTACAGGTCCCTTCAAAGGCGATTGACTCTGTGCTACGGCTGCTGCCGACGGAAGCCGTAGCGCTGCGAGCAAGTCCAAAGGCGGTTGCTCCGCTCTGGAAAGCTGCTGTACTGCTGTGTGTTTTGTAGGAATCGGTAAGCAAGTGAAGTCGGGATATCGTTGCTCGATTACTGCAATGGACTCGTTCTGCTTGCGGTCCCGCAGCGTCGTCAAAGTCTTGGCCATGCCCTGTGCCAGCACGGATTTGACTGTGCGCTCGCGTACCTGACTCACGGCCAGGTAGAACTGCAGCCCGTCGAAGAGCTGGTTCTGTGCTGTGCTAGCGGATGCGACGTCTGTAACATGCTTCTTGGTGTGCTGTTTGTCGAACTCTTCTTCATCCGAGGACAAGGTGCTCATTTCCTCCTCTGGAGCTTCGTTGTCACTCCACTCGGGAAAATTGGCCTTAAGTCTGTTGGGGCTGTTCAGTAGCTCTGCGTTCTTCTGGTCGGCTCGCATCTGAGTTTCAATCATGTCTGTTCGGGTCAAGCACGGCAAGTTGTGGTCTGGCTGGTTCACCATGAGCAGCGGCAAGCCCGTCAAGTGGTGCAGTGCGTGGAGCACAAATTGAATAATGGCCTCCGTGGGCGTGGCTGCGCGCGTGCGGCTTGTCGCCATGGAGCAGGATCCGCTGGTGTTGCAAGTGGCGACTGGCCGTGTCACAGACGTTTCCGCTTAGTTTTGCGGTTTTTTTTGCCTGCGAAGAGTCGTTAACAACGCTCGCTGCAATGGTGCTTGGGCGCTTGTCGCCGGATCGGGAAATGCCTTAACAGCAGGCCTAGAAGCAGCGGCGGTCAACACGACGGGGAGCGATACCAACGCCACGGAATTCCAGCGAAAGGCGTGGGTTCCGAAGGTGCCGGTGCC